ATGATGGAGTTCTGCCATCGTATCCTGATGGACCCCTCTGCTGATCCTTGCAGGACGGACGGAGCGCTGCACTGCATCGGCGCTCTGGCTGAGCTCTTACTTAAGGTGAGAGACATGCATCTGGATGGAACTCTAACGAGCACTTTTATCAAGTGATCAGCTTCAGGATTCGCTGCGTTTCTGTGTGTCTGGTCCTACAGAAGCGGCTGTACAGGGAGCAGATGGAGCTGATGCTTCAGAACTACGTCTTCCCCTTGCTGAACTCTCCTCTGGGTTACCTGCGTGCCAGGGTGAGTAAGCTTCCTCCCTTCTTGGTAGAGCAGTGTAAGAGTCATGATGGCTAATAATGCATCACCACTGAATGAATAATGTGGGTGCATTTTAATCCTGTGTGTATAATTTTCACCCAGTTTTATTTCATAAAACTAAAAAAAAACATTATGTCCAGTTAAGTTATTTGAGTTCTATATTAAATTGAACTGCATGCATGTACAAACTCATCATTTAGGTTTAGGACCTAAACTGGAATAATTCCAGTTGATTTGAATCTGGTATATGTATTCCAGTGGCTGTTGAAACTAATGAAAAGTACGCAATAACCACTGGTTAAATGAAACTTTCATTAAATGAAACTTAAAGATGACCTTTGAGGAATTATTTACAAGCTGCACTAGAAGCTGATGTGGACTAGTGCTGTACTGCTTTCAGCAGATGTGTCAGAAATACCATACCACCTTTATTTATAAAGCACTTTAACATAAAACCAGAGTTCACAAAGTGCTGTACATGCTAATAGCATAAGTAAAGAAAATTAAAATGAGATAAGATAAAATAAATAACTAAAAAAAACTAAAATATTGGGTCCAAATGTTAATCTCACAGAACTGTAGACACACAGTCTGTGGTAAAGCCTGCAGTGACCACCTGGAAAATGAAAACTCGTTGAGGGTTGTCGTTGCTAAAATGTTCACAAAGGAACTCTTTATTTTATTTTATTCCTTTAACGCGTCGACTGGCTCTCTGCAGTGCTGCAGGGTTGTCCGTTTAGTCAATGTGAGTTATTGTTTTAGTCTCGTCAGCACACCAGCTGTTCTGCAGACCAGAGTGATCTGGTGGGGGCATCGCTGACGGCAGCAGTAGACAGTTATGGTGGTTTCACAAATTTGACTAAGGTGAAAGTTGTATGGATGCTGTACAAACTTGGGATACTCTCCTTTGTTAGTCCTGCTGGGTGTTGCACTCCTTCAGTCCGCTGCGTTTCCATGACGAGCTGGTGCTGAGGAATGCCGTGGAGTTGGTCAAACAGGATCTGATAGATGACAAAGAGATGCCTGTCAAGGTGGAGGCTGCCATCGCTCTGCAGACGCTGGTCAGCAACCAGGAACAAGGTCTGTTTCTTTACCGTCACAGGCCCAAGC